TCAAAGGCCATAAAAACAATATTACGAAATCTGAAACCAACCATATAAAATAATATTCGGTCGAATGACGCCATGCCCTCAAATGAACAGGCACACCGATTCTGACATCACGCATCGATTAGAACCACCGGAATCATTAGAAAAGTCACGTGAGCAGGATCTACTTTGTTCACGACTTCTTTCTGCGAGGCATGCGCGGATTAATCTAGGATTTATCAAGGGTAAACAGTCCCGAGCTGGTGGCGCGAAAAAAGGATTTAGAGACGGAGGGATTTAGTGATGGAATACGTGAGGTTCTCGAAGAACTGGTTGAGAGCTTCACAATTGTCAAGGTCAACGGCTGGATTTATTCTCAAAAGAGCACAGCTCAAGTGGTCTTCGGGCCAAATGGACACCGGTATTATCAGAGGAAATCGACCGGCAGTGCTATTGGAAACAGATTTGCAGGTGATTCATAAAAATAAATAGAGATGAATGTATGTTCGATAATAAACACTACGTATACAAGAAGAAACAAGCTGTGGTTGTAATGTGATAATAAAGGTAGATTAGCTGTACAGAATAGGGGGAGACGACACAGAGAAAACATTGGGAGTGTTGGCAGTGGGTGGAGGGAGCCTCTGTAATCTGGTAATCTGGTAATCCTAGTTTCAGCTTCATAGCAAACGGGTCACCCCACAGATGCTCCGCTCCTGTGCCAACGAAAAACAAACGCAGCTCACAGTGTCACGCCATGCACTCAACTCAGAAACTGGGCGACGAAACATCATCCTTCCAGTCTACAAATGGAGCAAAAATGCAACGGCCACCGTCTGGCAAAAAAAAAAAAAAAAAAACATTTGCCACGGCTTTAAAAAAAAAAAAAAAATATTAAATGAAAAAAAAATGTGGCCGTGCCTAGCGTCCATTTTGACCGGAAGAATTATATGAGGGTTAATAAACGGTCACCCCAGCAGTACCCTCATTATTAGCTGGGGAAGGGACTTAGGACGTTACATCCACCAGCAGGCACCGCCCCTATAACGACCTGCCTGCCATCATTAACGACTGTTCACACAACAGCCATGCAGTTCTTTGGCACGAAGGAGACACCTTGAACTTGGGTTTCGTACTGCCGACTCCCTACTAAGATGTTATTTTATGTTTTGTTATCACAATTAATGTCACTGCACACTGGGCATACCCATGCGTGCTCAGTTCTCCGAAGCAGCAGCCACTCCAAAGTACTTCTACTAATTGTCCCTATGAGAAGCTGGTTATATTGTCTCCTTTCTCGGCCTCGAAGACGGCAAAGACGTGCATCACCATGCTTAACTCCCATGTCACGCAATCGTGTTAGTGTCAGGGATTCCTCATTCTCCACTAGCCCAGTTCGTACAGCGTTGACTATATCTGCTCTGTCCATACTTTTTCCCGCAATCATTAGTGCGGTTCTTACCAGTTGGTCTGCTCGCTCATTTCCCTTCACGCCCGCATGACCCGGTGTGTAGATCCAGGTTACGGAGGTTAAGTGAGATTTCCGAATGCTTTCTATCCCTATACAAATACTGCAGCATTGCACCATGTATCTCTTCCTGGTCGGTAACCACCTAGTGTAGCGGGGAATAGGCCACCCGACTCCAATATTTGGGTTAACGTTCTGGCAACGATTTTTTCCATGAGTTTTCCTAGTGTTCTGGAGTGTGATGATTCTGTAGCCATTTATTCTCGTGTGGTCTTTTCCTGGCTTAGGAACCGGTCTGAGGTAGCTGTGGAGCCAGTCATCAGGAATAATGCCAGTTTTCATGGTGTTGTTAAAAATCGTGGATAGTTCATCAATATCTGTCGTCTCGAGGCTTTTGAAGTGGCTGTATCTAATGCCATCACGCACTGGAGCTGTGTCCGGACAGGTCTTCAGGTTTGCTCTGATGCAGTCCGTTGAGATGTATACTGTATCATCGACTTCCTCCATTTCAGCCATCTGGATATCATATAAACTCTGTCTCATCTGTTCCCTCTCTTCCCTATCTTTCTTTTCCGTCTGCAGAAGAAATCTGTGCAGGATAGCCTCGCCCTTGTCTTTATCTGATTGCAACACCACCCCGTTGTCCATCTTTAGCATAACAGAGGTTTGTTTGCCTCCGTTCATCTTTTGGTGAAGCCGCCAGAATTTTTTGAGTGATTTTTCATAACCTATTTCTTCGCAAAAATGTTCCCACATTGTGTGCTTAGACTCCTTTGCGAGTTGTTTAAAATGTTCAGTGAGTCTGTCTTTATTGTGTTTAATGTATCCGTCCCATCTCAAGAGGAAAGATTAAAGTAAAGGTCACTTTTCCACGCCTTTAGGCGTTTTGGGAATATAAGACTAGACCTATTTTTTATAGTCCAATGGGCACTTGCTGGGCGATATCGTCAGCATCATGCCGGCCGCCCTTTACTTCCCATGACTGTACTTGGTACTCAACAAGGCTGGGTCGACCTAGGAGTCAAGGTTATTTTTGAAAAAAAAAAATGTCCAGCTCTGTCAGGACGCGAACCTATGACCTTCCGATCCGGAGTCGGGCGTCTAGCCGCCAACGCTACTGCGAGAGGAAAGACTAATCTAATGTTAAATACTTGTATAAAGAAATGTATATTTAAATACTTGTATAAAGAAATGTATATTTAAAAACTTGTATAAAGAAATGTATATTTAAATACTTGTATAAAGAAATGTATTTTTAAATACTTGTATAAAGAAATGTATATTTAAATACCTAAAAACGTAAATTATATTTTAGATTATGTGGATTGCAGTGTCCCCTTATAAATTTTCTAGCTGACTCAACCCCCCCCCCTCCTTTTTTTCAACTCTAACCCCCCCCCCCCTCCCCCCTTTTTTTTTCTCCCATTTTCGAGATGTGTATAGGGCGAGGCTCCCGGTAACAAAATCCTCAAATTATAGCGCAACTGATATAGAAGTAATGAAAAGAATAAATAATTACATCTAAAGGAAGTTTGTTATTACATGTGTTGTTCATTGCTGGAAAATACTGCTCATCAATTAAATTTGCTTATGCGACATACAGTGTTTAGGGCCACATATTGAACATTTAAAAAAAACGAAAACTGTAGTGAGGAGAAGACATGAAGAGGTACCAGTTAGTCTTCTTCTTCTTCTTCTTCTTCTACTTTTCTTCTTCTTCTTCTTCTTCTTCTTCTTCTTCTTCTTCTTCTTCTTCTTCTTTTTTTTATTATTATTATTATTATTATTATTATTATTATTATTCTTTTTTTTATTATTATTATTATTATTATTATTATTATTATTATTATTATTATTATTGCTATTATTATTATTATTATTATTAATATTATTATTATTATTATTATTATTATTATTATTATTATTCTCTTCTCCTTCTCCTTCTTCTTCTTCTTCTTCTTCTTCTTGTTCCTTCACCGTCCTCTTCTTGTTCTTCCCCTACTGCAGCATCTGCTGCAGACAATTACATACTCCAATTATCGATCATGATGTTAATACCGTTGAACATGTTATGGCATGTGGAATACAACAATCAATACCATTCCCAAGCAATTCTTATTGTTCTCCGTGATTGGCATGCCACAATTGGGCCAGATTCATATCAGCCGTGGGCAGGAGAGGCGAGAAGATTGAGGCCAGAAGTTGTCTACCGATAAGACAGCCGGGGTTTTCACCGGCGCTGATGACGCTCGTGACCATAATCATGTAATAATGGGGTTTTCGTTTACACGGGGCCACCTCGCTGCTAGAATGTGAGACAGCGGAAGAAGAAGCAGATGATGATGATAAGGAAGACGAAGAAGAAGAACAAGAAGAAGAAGAACAAGAAGAAGAACAAAAAGAACAAGAAATAGAACAAAAGCAAGAACTAGAACAATAATAAAAACAAGAGTAAAGTAAAAGTAAAGGACCCTTTCCGCACCTTCAGGCGTATAGGGCATATAGGGCTAGACCTATATCTTATAGACCAATCGGCACACGGTGGGTGATGTAGTCAACATCACGCCGACCACCTTTACTTCCCAGATGCGTCGGGTGCCTCAATATAACTGTGCTATGTTGCCTCAAAAACAATTGTTTACGCGATTAAAAGGGACTTCTGCGATTTGTGCCTGTTTATCATCAAAAGAGAGTCGCAGTGGTGTAGCCGCTAGAAGCTCGCCAGCGGAACACAAGGTCGTGGGTGTGAGTCTTGATGGAGTGGGACTTTTAAAAAAAAAATGACCTTAGCTTTCTGATCCACCCAGCCTTGAGGGGGTACCAGGTGAAGTCCGGGAAAATAAATGCCGCCCGTGTGATGCTGGCCACATTACCCGCCAAGAACCGATTGGTCGATACAATATAAGTCTATATGCCCAGTACGCATAAAACCTGGAAAGGGCCCTTTACTTACTTTACTTACTTTTCTTTACAAAGACATTATTCCTACATAAAGCAGTCCTGGAGGGGTGTGGTGGGGGAGGGGAGAAGTGTAAGGCAGCGGAGTTTAAAAAAGAACAAATCTTGTCAAAGCGACTATTTGGGATTTCCTTTTCTTTTTCATACCCACTACACTAGCTATAGGCCGACTGCACGAGGGGGAAAAAACCATGACAAGATATCAAAGCAAATGAAAAGTAGAACCCGCTAGCTTCACTTTATCACAAACGTAAACAACAAGGGACAGTTGTGGCTAGATAACCCATATCAGCACATTACATGACTTTACAATACCACAAATACAACCAAGAGTTCCTAAAATCACTTAACTGAAGTATCTCTGAGAAAAATCACACGTGTGTCTGGTCAGATGAATCCCTGTCACGTCCGTGACCACCGGAAATAAATACTAGCACGACAAAGCCGTGAAAGGCAAGAGCCGAAACTCACAAACATAAGACGACATTGTGTTGGATATTGAGTATCCTAGATGAACTGGAACCCATTAGATAAACTAGGTAGCGACTGTGCAATTATTAGAGGTGAATGAGAGGGAAAGTTAATTAGAAGGACTTACCTGGTGGCTGAGATTCTGGACGCCAGGTACCCTCCAGGAATCTGTGTCACGATGTAGCCCCAGAAGAACGAACTGTCCACCACTCCTACAGTTTCCGGTGTCCAGTTAAACTCTGGCTCCTGGAAGGGAAGAAGAAGAAGAACTAAAATCATCAGTTTCTCGTGGATGTTTGGTGCAGACTTCCTCCGAGGTTTTCAGGCTTCAGCACAATCCTTACCCACACATGTCTGCAGGTTACATCTGGCTAGTGTCGCCCTTACGAGTGCCCTCTGGGGTCTCCGTGGCGAAGTTGTCAAGCCGTTTGCCTCGCACTGTGAAGGTCGTGGGGTCGTTTCAAGGCGGCACCTTTCATTTCACGGGTGCAATTTGTACAGAGATCCCTGGGCATCGTCACCTGAGCTATGGAGGTTGTGCCCTGTGCGACGCTCTTGGCAGGCGGCTGGCTGTTCTGCGGAGAGAGACCAAGCCATATGGGATAAAACCCAGTGCAATGAAGTCGATCCTCTCGACTTTTAACCTTTTAACCTTTACTAGTGCCCTAATTATGACTTCTTCAAAGGTTGAACGGGTTATCTGCGATCTGTCTTCTCGGACTACCATCCGGATTAAGATTTTTTTTTTTTTTTAAATAATGGTATAGTGAACCTTTAAGTAACAGCCGGGAGTGGACACTTTAATCGATCGATCGATTCAAGGGCCCAACTAAAAGACTGCGGGGGGGGGGGGGGGGGGGGAAAATCCACTGCATTGTATCGAGCATATCGTACAAGCCGACTTATCATGACTTTTATTAAATCGCTCATGCTTGGTCGACAGACACACATATCACAGCTTAGTTAAAACCAAAAGGTAATGTGACGACCACAGTGAGCTTATAGTGTGTAAAGGGACCTTTAATTTAACAGGCAGAAAGAAAGATAACTATCATGTTGTATCGCAAATACAGACACAAAGAAAGCTGTCATGTTGAATGGCAAATACAGGCACTGAGAACGTTTACTGTCAAGTTAAATGGCAAATACAGGCACTGAGAACGTTTACTGTCATGATAAATGGCAAATACAGGCACAGAGAACGTTTACTGTCATGTTAAATGGCAAATACAGGCACAGAGAACGTTTACTGTCAAGTTAAATGGCAAATACAGACACTGGGAACGTTTACTGTCATGTTGAATGGCAAATACAGACACAGAGAACGTTTACTGTCATGCTGAATGGCAAATACAGGCACAGAGAGCGTTTACTGTCATGTTAAATGGCAAATACAGGCACAGAGAACGTTTACTGTCATGCTGAATGGCAAATACAGGCACAGAGAACGTTTACTGTCATGTTAAATGGCAAATACAGGCACAGAGAACGTTTACTGTCATGCTGAATGGCAAATACAGGCACAGAGAACGTTTACTGTCATGTAAAAAGGCAAATACAGGCACAGAGAAAGTTGTCATGTTGAATGGCAAATACAGGCACAGCGAACGTTTACTGTGATGCTGAATGGCAAATACAGGCACAGAGAACGTTAACTGTCATGTAAAAAGGCAAATACAGGCACAGAGAAAGTTATCATGTTGAATGGCAAATACAGGCACAGAGAACGTTTACTGTCATGTTAAATGGCAATTACAGGCACAGAGAACGTTTACTGTCATGTTGAATGGCAAATACAGGCACTGAGAACGTTTACTGTCTTGTTAAATGGCAAATACAGGCACAGAGAACGTTTACTAGAATGTCAAATGGCAAATACAGACACAGAGAAAGTTTACTGTCATGTTAAACGGCAAATACAGGCACTGAGAACGTTTACGGTCATGCTAAATGGCAAATACAGGCACAGAGAAAGTTTACTGTCATGTTAAATGGCAAATACAGGCACAGAGAACGTTTACTGTCATGTTGAATGGGAAATGCAGGCACAGATTAAGCTAACTGTCATATTGAATAGCAAATACAGTCACAGAGAACGTTTACTGTCATGTTGAACGGCAAATACAGGCAGGGAGAAAGTCAATTTTCATGTTAAATGGCAAATACAGGAAAAGAGAATGTTAATTGTCAAGTTGAATGGCAAATACAGGTACAGAGAAAGTTAATTGTCATGTTGAATAGCAACTACAGGCAATGTGAAAGGTAACTGTCATGTTAAATGGAAAATACAGGCGCAGGGAGAGGTAAATATCATACTGAATGCCAAATACAGGCACATTGAAAGTTAACTGTCATGTTGAATAGCAAATACAGGCACAGAGAAAGTTAGTTGCAATGTTGAATTACAAATACAGGCACAGAGAAAGTTAATTGTCATGTTGAATTGCAAATCCGGGAAGGCTAACCCAGTCAACAAATGCCCGTAGAAGTTGAATGTGTTGGCCGAAGGTGCAAATATCGCAGCCATGCTGTAAACAGACACAACGCAATTACACCTTCGGATGAACGCAGAAGAAGAAAATGAATGGCAAATACAAGCACAGAGAAAGTTTACTGTCATGTTGAATGGCAAATACAGGCACAAAGAAAGTTTACTGTCATGCTGAATTGCAAGAACAAGCGCATCGAGATTTAAATGTCATATTGAATGCCAAATACAGGCATAAGAAAAGTTTACTTTCATATTGAATGCCAAATACAAACACAAGGAAAGTTAATTGTCTTGTTGAATGGCAAAAACGGGCAGGGGAAAGTTAACTCTCATGTTGCATACACAGGGAAAGTTAACTCTCATGTTGCATACACAGGGAAACTTAACCCTCATGTTGCATATACAGGGAAAGTTACCTCTCATGTTGCATACACAGGTAAAGTTAACTCTCATGTTGCATACACAGGAAAAGTTAACTCTCATGTTGCTAACATAGGGAAATTTAACTCTCCTGTTGCATACATAGGGAAAGTTAACTCTCAAGTTGCTTTCACAGGGAAAATTAACTCTCATGTTGCATACACAGGAAAAGTTAACTCTCGTGTTGCACACATAGGGAAAGTTAACGCTCATGTTGCATACACAGGGAAACTTAACTCTCATGTTGCATACACAGGAAAAGTTAACTCTCATGTTGCATACACAGGGACAGTTAACTCTCCTGTTGCATACCAAACACAGGCACGATGTTACCTGTCATGCTGAATGCCAAACAGAGTCACAAGGAAAGTTGACTATTTTATATCATTCAAGACTTGAGTGTTTTAAGCACCGTGGGCAAATAGCCAGCAAGGGTACTTGAACGGAGCTACCAAAACATTTTAGGGATCGTGAACTAGGGATCGTGAATCCCAAAGAGAAGCAGTGGGAAAACAAACGCTGTATCTAGTTTCAGGTTACCGAAATTCTCGTAAATTTTGTTGGTGGAATGAAATCGGCTGATGTCAAATACGTTTATATCTATTGTTATTTGCTGCCCAAGGCTGGTGCCGGTGAATGGATCACAAGGGATACTGCCAATAAATGAACTTTCGTTAGCCAAAGGGTGCCCCAGTAAAATCGTTTTACAATGCGAAAAAGGGTAGTTATCATTTGTTCTGGTTGAATTGGCATACGGAAATGAGATGTCTGAGAAGGGCTGTAGGAATGACCATAAGAGATAAGATCAGGAATGAGATCATAAGAGAACAAGTCGGCACAGAACCAATTCTGGATTACATACAAAGACAGCAAGTGAAATGGTTTGCCCACTTAGAGAGAATGCCTTGTGACACCATACAATACAAAGCATTCATGGAAAGAGAAGAAGGACGTAGAGCACGGGGTAGACCAAGAACAAGATGGAAGGATAACATCAGAGAAACTCTACAACAGCACGATGTGCCTATGGTCGAGGCAGCCAGAAGAGCTAGAAACAGAACCTTATATCTCCCTCGAGACCCACAGCGGTAAAAGAGGAAGTGAAGAAGAAGAGGAAGAAGAAGAAGAATTGGCATCAGAATTGTGGTTACAGGGTGCCACACTCTAGGCTGCAATCCCGTAGGAGAAATTCAGAAAGAAAAAATGATTACGACAGCGTCCTTAGAAATAACTTAGAAATATGTTGTGATGATATTGCGTTGCTAAGCTTTGTACAATATCTGGTTAGTGCTGGTATTAACTGAAAACTATTCCTGCTAATGCAGTTATTGCTGTGATAGAATTAATACTGCTTCGGTGCATTGAGTGAGAGTTCGTTGAGCGAAACATTGAAATCATAAAGAAATACCTTGCTTTCCTTGCATATGTTCCATGGTTAAAAGATGATCATAGTATTTTGGAAGAGATTGGATCCATGATAACGTCTGGACAGGCAGACAAACATTCAGGCAGTCTGGCACCACAGAAGTGGTAGATAAATGCAATAATTTGACAGTTTCTTTTTTTATTGGGGGGGGGGGGGGGGGGGGGGGGGGGGGGGTTGTTGGCACGTTTTGGCTAGTTTCTCGTGCCAGTGACCGGTATTTTAACCTCGTTAGTCCTCGGTTTTTTTCTTCTTTGTCACGCGCTAATAAAAAAAAAAAAAAAATAGAAATGCTCTCAAATAAAGTTATTAGCGACGTCACATGTCAGTTGGCATTAGGCTTAAAAAAAACACCTTTATTCACTTCATGCCATTAGGAAGGTAAAGGGTCCTTTGTATCCCTCATTTGCGCATCAATTGAATGACACGCCTTTTATTTTTAACTCTTTGAATCCCAAGGAACGCATCATACGTTTATTGGTTCCTACCTAGAAGCCCAATGAACCCATGATGCGCCGATTTTATGACTCTCTTTACTACCCCCTAGGTCTGAGATACTAAACCCCCTAGGACTCAAAGAGTTAAAGAACAACGCAATCACGCACGCACGCACACACACACACACGGAAAAGGGAGCTAGTGAGTCAAGTCAAAAAGATCAGAAGTACATTGGTGAACGGCATGCACTATCAAAGGATATAATGACTTGTCCTAAGTTGATTGCGTACCTATTTTCTATCAGAGGATAAACGGTAGAAGAAGAATTTAGACTGGATCAACCCAGAAGCGAAGATAATCCACACACACACACAATTAAGCGTGATACAGATTCCGATCTAAGACTAATGAGCTGCAGGGGAACGACTAGCAACAAAGCTACAAGTGTAGTTTTCAGACCGTCACCCTCTTCGA